TTAGGAAAAATAATTAGAATATTTATTTGAAACAACACATATCTGAGAATCAAGGGGGTTATCTCTCTCTCTTCTCTCTCTCTCTCTCTCTCTCTCTCTCTCTCTCTCTCTCTCGTACATTTCTCTGTTCAATAAAAACCATGACAACACATTACTTATTTAGTTTTGAAAATTTAATCTACACATGTATTACAAATAATTTGAATGCCTCTTTCCAACATCTTGACCGAGTATAATCACGGCCGGGAAATGTCTACAGATACATGAAGAAGTTAGCTAAAATAATCGTCATAAAAGAATAAAAAGGCACATAAATATAGAATATTTTGCAGTAGAATTTACATAAAACGAGAATTTTTATGCAGTACGATAATAATCAATGTCAACAGATAATTCTGAATTAAAAAAAAAAAAATCCGTTATTGTACTCAGAATCGCTTTCGCACGGAAATACAGTACGGTTGTTTCAACCCCGTACAATGTAATTAATTCATTCTATAAGTAGCTGTTTTATCTTCCGAAGTCCACATTATTTTATTAGTGAAAAGAATAAGCATATTTATTTACTATATAAGTAGATTAATTTATTTTTTAAGTACACGCGGTAACAAATACACGTTTGACGGCGATTAAAATCATGTTATTAAAATATCGATTTAAACATAGGTATGTGTAGAAAAAAAATGTTTTTATTTATTTGTTTATTTATCTATCTTTTGTTTATCTCAGTAGTAGTTTTATCTTCTAAAATCCACATTATTTTATTAGTTAAAAGAATAAGCATAATTATTTACTGTATAAGATTAATTTATTTTTTAACTGGACGCGGTAACAAATACACGTTTGGTGGCGATTAAAATCATGTTTTTAAAATATCGATTTAAACATACGTATGTGTAGAACTTTTTGTTTTATTATTTATTTATCTATTTATTTCTCTTTTGTTTATCTATTATGTATTTATATTTATTTTTGACATTTGAATCATAGAATAAAAGAATAATTTCAAAACAAGGAAAAGACCGAAGGCATTCCGAATAGATCGTTCATCTTGCGTTCACCGTTCGTTCACCGTTCACTTTGCGCTCGCGTTCGCGCTCCGCTCGCGTTCTGCGTTCACTCACCGTTCACCGTTCACACATCGTTCACCAAGTTGCGTTCACCGTTCGCACATCGTTCACCCACCGTTCGCTCTGCGTTCGTTCACCGTTCGTTCACCGTTCGATCACCGTTCAGGTGGGAAAGTGAAACATTTCAGGGACTGTAGTTATCCACGTTAGTCTAAAATTCAAACAAATAATGAAGCTTGCATTCATTGCTTTATTACACTCAAAACATTTTAATTTACAATAAGAAGCACTTGACAAAACAGCAACGGTCTGAAAAGAGCAAAGAATTAAAAGAGGACAAAAACAGTTTATTATGCCATTTTACTTAAATATTAGTGGTCTTGTGTTCAAATTCTTATTCTGGAATGCAATTCAATTTCTATAGAACTCTAGAAGGCATTTTTTTGCCAAAAAAAAAAGCCACAAACAAAAACTAAAGATATTTGAAATGAAAACGCGTTTATGAAAAAAATAATATTAAGCGAGGCATTCTGCACAACTATGTCGCCATTTTTTTTCTAAATACAGATTTTGAATGGCCGTTGTACATATATATCTCCAAAGATACTTAAGAGTAAAGTGCACTACAAAATGGATCTTCACTAGGAGAAGATGGAACACATTAAGTCATTAACCCCCATCCCCTCCCCCCAAAAAATACAAAATGATGAACATATAAAAATAGGTAAAATATCTTTAAAGACATGTGCAACAAACACATTTATTTCATAATACAAATCTATTTAAAGTCAAAGTATCTGACATGGAACATTTTTCTCTATATTAAATTACCAAAAATCAATGTTAAAATTAGAGATATTGCGTCAATGCAAAGGTAATATAATACATGCTCTATATTAAACACTATTGATTTCTTCTTCTGATTATATTTTTCCCATGATATTCTTCATATACATACAGTACAGGCCACGAGTTTTCCGCAAAAAACACGGGGCCCCGTGGACAGAAAGTCCACGCTTTAGCGTGGACTTGTCGGCGTCTTTGAAGTCAGCGTTTCTGTGCACCGTGTAACACGGTGTGTCACAGTTTTGATGATTAATATTTTAAACATTGTCATTGCCCTTATTTAATAAAATTAAATCAAATTTCTTTTGAAATATTTGTTGTACTTTTCCTTAATTTAATATTTGTATTAATTTATCGCATACAGATGTTTAAACTTTTAACATGCCCTATTTAATATCAACGTACTCGTGTCCAGCCAAAAAAGAAATGTACAATTACGTTTCAAGTTAAATCCTAATTATATTAGTCATAAAAAGTTAAATAGACTATTATTATTATATTACACTTAGAGGAAACAAACTTTTATAAATGAATTACTTGAATGTCTCTACTTTCGATTCAATTTGATTTTAACCGTGTTCAATTAAATTGTTGATACAAGATCGTTCTTCTCCATACGTATGCATTCATACGTAGTACATATCTGATACGTGATTATACTAAGTGAATTAATTATTTTGTAAGAATTTAAAAAAATATATATATACGTGTATGTACTATGTCTAGAATATTTTTTTTTAAATACGAATCAGACTCGCACATTGATTCTGCTCTTTGATACCGGTACCGATACTCGGCGAATCATTGGACAGGTTCAGATAAGGGTTATTGCCGTGACTAACACTGAAAATCTGTGATTATGTAAAATATGGAGATAAATATTAATTGCAGTAAACTCGAAAATCTATTGAACAGGCAGAGATGATAATCTGATAAATTTCTTTAATTAAAATAGTGATCAACTTATACGCTGAATACAAAAATCACCAGCCGAATTTTTGGCAAATGAAATGTACTAACTTCGGTACGAATATTACTTCATTCTGAAAAATATCGTGTGAAAAATGAAACGAAAAAAAACCCACAGTTTGAGAAAACAAAGATATTTAGCGATTTTTAAATATGCCCCCCCCCCCCTCTAGAAAGTGATACGAATCGGCTGGTTAAAACTTGATCAGAAGTCAGCAAATTTATGACTTGTTATGTTTTTTTTTAAATCTTAATCTACGAAAAACATGCTTATTTGTGTCTGAAATAGGATAAATAAATTAACAATGTACAAGTAGGTTTATAATCGTTGTTGTAGTGAAACTTGGAAGATGAATTTCGCATGATATCAGTTGAGTGTGTTATACACTTGCCGTGGTCTGAGCTAAAGAATTTGAAAGGTGTGATAAACATACGGCGCCCCTGGCCCATCGGCAGAGACCCAATATATGTTTTAAACAGGTGTGAACTCGGAACTGACCATAAGATTGTTTCAAATCACAAGTGAAATTCTTTCCGCGTAAACAGACTTTCAAGGTCACCTAGCGTCATGGGACAGGTGATGCACGAGGATTTTGTGCGTACAGCATATACAGAGAACGAATTTGATTGCAGTAAATGCGTTGAATTTGAACAAAAGTTGTGGCAATTAAATAGAATTATAGAATGATTAATTGTGACCTCCGTAACTTAAATAAAATGAAGAATCCAAAAAAAAATTACAGACTATGTTAGAAGGGGGTTGTTTGAGTATCTCTCTCTCTCTCTCTCTCTCTCTCTCTCTCTGGTATTGCTTTTTATACACTTTACAAGAAAAAAAAACTTATTAGAATAAAGAAAATCTTTTTTAAATAATTACTTACCCAGAGAGGATTTTAAAAACCTAACGTAGTGAACACTTCTCTATGAAAATAATGTTTGCTGTTACGAGAAAAATGCTTTGAAATTATTGCATTAATTTCGTGTTTCTGCTGACGATTTTCGCATCCACATTCAGAATAATTCCAGATGAATAAAAAACATGTATTTTAATAAGAAATATACATAATAATGGTTGGGTCGTACACTAGTACTGTACATGTAAAAACCATAAACATGAATACAGCTCGGATTTTATACTACATACAGAGTGCGAGACGAATGCAGCTCGACGCCATTTCGTCTTCCTTTTTTACATGAACTCATGAGATTAAATTATTCATTTAAAATAAAATTCATAATTTTTATTTTGTTACATGAATGAATAATTTTACTAAAATAAAAATGTCTAGACACACAGTTAAGAGTCCACTATCTGGTTGAATAAAAACGATTATATATATACATAAACCAAAGTTATAAATTGTCATCAAAATTTATTAAATTTTTATCAGAAACAGAGAATTTTGTCTGTAATACTATTTACACGGTGCAGCTGCTTGGAGAAGAATTTTCTGGACACTCGGTGCAACACGGAGGGAAATTTACTGGACACGGTGCGACACGGAGGACATTACCTGAGATTTTTCTAGACACGGTGCGGCACGGTGTGCCTACATGTATATTTCAAATCCACACACACCGTGCTACACCGTGTACGCGGTGTAACACAGAGCGTTTCACACGGTGTTTTTTCCACCGAGCGATGCGGAAAACTCGTGGTCTGTTCTGTATATCCTTGATAAGGCATTTACACATGTAAATTAAGAATATTTCATGACACCTTTACTCTTGAATAAATGAATATTCCATATATCTGTTATTGATTGAAGAAAATTACACATTTCTTGTATCCCGATCATTTTATTGATTGTAGTATATACTTGTGTCACTGCCCTGAATATGATCATAAACAGCATTGATCACCAACCCATATTCATCCTAAAAAGAAAATAAACAATATAAATGTTCTGTGGTCGAATTAATTTGCAAAACTAAATTTCCAGATACATTAATGCTTTAGGCGATCTAATATTGAAGAACATGACATTTAATGTGGCCTTTATAAACCTCATCTGTCTTTATTTATTTATAAAAAAAAAATCGACCCGTGGCCTATGATTAAAAAAATATATATATTTGGTTCTGAAAAACGCACAAGGTTGGAACAGAATTCCGGTCTTCTGACTTGAAGTTGTCTGACGGCAGTGAAGACATCCACACAGGCGTCCATGTTGATCTGTTGTATTACGTTATGAACGGCACAGAAAACACCACTTAATGCTGCACCATCACTAAATACGAATATATATAATATGATATTTCAATACGGATTGTCCGAAAGCGTTTTTCATAATCAACAGGTTGAAAAAAGAACGGCATTTGGCATCAATAAAACATTAAAGGAAGGAATTGCAAAATAAAAAAAAAAATGAATTTATACATCTGATATTTTCTGTTTCATAATTGAACTTAAGATGTAAGCTCAAATTGAAATTTTAATTTAAATGGATAACAAGCATCAGTAACAAAAAAAAAAAGAAATTCACCTGCTGACAATTGTAATAGGATTTTCTGTCTCAATGGCCAGCGTGGTAGACACAAGACTCCGAAGTGGAGATGTGTCAAGAAAAGTCCCGGATGTTTCAATTCTTACTTTTGGTTCTATTATTGTCACAGGGTGAGCCTCCTCTTCATTCTAAAGAAAACAGGTATTGTTGTACTATTATCAATATGTAATCTGTCCTTCTTTTCTTTCAGAAATCCTATTTATCTTACTTTAAAGCATGTTTAATTAAATTTGAATTGCAACATATTTAAAAATTATTTATATCCTGAAAACCTAAAAATTCAAGCTATATGTTAAACGTGAAGATTTAATTTTTTCTATCGTCAACGTTCCTAACGAATGCAGTAATATACATTCATTATCTGTTTACAGAGTTCTTTTTTATATCCCAGTTGATTCCATGCACAAGAGCATGCATTAGGTATAAACAATTTCAAAAACGAGGTAAATTATTGATTAGAATTTAAACCATCTCGTATAAAGTCATCATTAAGTACATTTAAGTTATATTGTCAATACAATTACCTTATCAGAAAATTCAATTTATCATTGAGTTAAATTAGCTAACATATTTTTCATACGAATTGTTATTTCATTTTTTAAACACTGAGTTGCCGACATATTTTCCCTTTTCCCCCGACCATGACAAGGAGCACATAGAGGTTGTGACCAGTCGGCATGGGATACTCACTCCTCAATGGCACCTGATCCCACCTCTGACGCTTTGGAGGTTCGTGTTTGCTCTTCTCTTATTTTGTATTGTTTTAAGGAGATGTTGATTACTGTTCGTTATCTCCCTATGTTTCATGTGTACACAGAACAAGCGTAACACGACTTTTCTAGCTCACATTTTTCTCGAGAATGTGCACAGTAGTGCTGATGATGTGATTTGCAGATTGACTTTGAACATGGATGGTAAACGGGGGCACTGTTTTGGAAGATGAGGAACTTGGTAACCATGCTTCACTCTGAAATTAAAATGAAGCATTGCAAAACTTGAATCTTGAGTGTGTAAATACTCCAAAATCAGCATAGTGTTTTCATTAATATTTGTTTTGAATTACATACCTAGCTTATAAATGAATTTAACAATTTCTTAAGACCATACACGATGCATCTTGTTTATTTTTTTATTGAGAATTATCGCACTTTCAGATGCAAAAAAATCCCTTGTTGTCACAAATATCACAAGAAAACTAAAAAAAACAAGAAACAGTTTCATATTAGGTTCGATAAAGAGTGCTACATACCGAATCAATCTTGTTAATAGGATCCATACAGATGACTGTGTCACATTCATGGTCATTGAGCAGGCGGAGGAAGTCAACAGCGTCCTCTTCCGTTGGATACTTCGTCACTATAAACGCTCTTTTGTTTTTGTATGACTACACAAATGGACAAAAAAGAAAAAAAAGAATTACATAAACATTTTTATCCTATAAAAAAATTTATGAATAATGATATTTTTGTATCATTATTTTATTATTTTCCTTGGAAGTCTCTCCCTGTGGGAGGCCCCTTGATTCCGGTGTATCACCATTGCGCATGCGTGCAAGATAACGTTATTCTCTATATTTATTTTTCGCGGTAAACATTTTTTACAATTTTCTGAAGCCGCCTCCCACCCCTCCTCCTTTTCTGAAATAACTTTCTGTGGTGACTTGTTAGGGCGATTGTTGCCCTATTTATATTTATTTATACGTTTTTCACATTTTGGTTTTTAAATCTTAAATTTAAAACATTTAAAAAAATCGTTTCAGAATAAGGGCGGATGTTGCCCCATCTTTGACACTGTTTAGGTCTGTAATACGCATTCTGTTTATTGTACATTTTGCGTACCTAATTTTCTGTAAAAAAAATACGACAAAAGAAAGACTTCCTAAATATAATTATATCCTTGATTAATGAATTAAAAGCAACCAGGAACACATAATGGTTAACATATATTAAAACTTAACTAGTCGTGCACAAATCTGTAATTAGTTAGCACACAAAAAATAAAATTTACAAATACCTTAATTGATAAATGTTAAATGAAAAAAAAAATCAATACTTACTGGAACAGTTATCGCATTGATGAAGTTTCCTCTTTTAGGGACATTAGATGATAAATGAACGCTGTATTTATCCACTTAATTAATGTAGAAAAAGAAATTGAACATTATTTCAATTATACATGAACAGAAAATAAACAAATGATCCTTAAACATTAAAGGTCACATTAAAGGTCACCGGTGTTTCCTTATTCTCTCTTTATCTGACAAATTTAGTCCCATTCTGAACACATCATGTTATTCAATTGTTTTCCATATTTTAATTTAAAAAATTGAATTCATATCTTATGGGATGGAAGAGACATTCATAGTTTCAATCTATATTTTCAATGTTCGCTTCGTGATCGGGAGGCCCGGGTTCGATTCTCGTTCGCGGCGCCGCGTCATACCTAAGACGTAAACAAAGGTGGTGACTGTTCCTTCGCCAAGCGCTCGGCACTAGAAGTGAAAGTCACGGGTCTTTCGGATATGACCTTAAAAACGTAGGTCCCGTGTCACGGTAGGCGCTGGCACGATAAAGAACCCTCACTGCTCAATGGCCCTGAGTGCCGAGTATAGGTCTAAATTTGAAGCCCTTCACCGGCATACGGTGACGTCTCCATAATGAGTGAAAAATTCTCGAGAGGGACGTTAAACAATATAAAATCAATCAATCAATATTTTCAATGCCGCAAGATTATTTCTATTTGTAAGTGTTACTTACTATGGACAACATGTTTAAGCTTTTGGGGAGAAATATTGCCGGCAAACTTCTATTTACAGAAGATTTAATAAAGGATTTCCTAATATTTTATTTATGGAGACTAATTTCGTTGTGAAAGGATGTGCATGAAAAGTATCAAATATGACTTCCAAAGAAAAAACAGGTTTATTACACTATACTAAAATGTCAATATAAAACTACACTGAAGCCTGGATCCTGCTTCAACCAAAACAAAAAAGCAATAGACAAGGCAGAGATCAAACAGTTCTTATATCTTTTGATCATCTTCTTTTTAAATATAAACGACGTATGTTTCAAGTGACAAAACTTATCGTACAAATCATGGAAGACAATGAGAAAAAAAGAAATCTTAAAAGTTACACCTTAGTTGTATGTATTAAGGAAGCTAAAGTGTTTCCTTCATCAAAATGTATAATTTTGTTTGAAAAAAACATTTAAAATATCTCTGGTTTTCAACATATCAACAAAAATACTAACTTTAAAGTTGAATTTTTTAAAAAATAAAATCATAGTTCGATTTTTTTTCTGAAGAATGAGAATAAAATCAAAGGATAACTTACGTGGCAAAATACCGTTGGAATACATGTCTCCACAACCTTCTCTGGCGAGCTTGAAGTCATTATCGTTGTACACAGGTCGTATTATCATTAAAAGCTGGATAAAAAAATCAAATGGGAAAAAGAAACGTACGAAAGGGAACGATATCTATGAAAAAAGTGGATTTGCGATAGCAATTAGGATCAAAATCAAGAAAAGGCTTTGGAGCTGAATAATGTTTTAATATTTTTATTTGCTGTTAATATTTTGAAAATCCCTCAAATTTGAATTTTAAATAAATTTAGATAAATACGTTTTATCTTATCAAATACATTGTAATTCTTTCAATTTAAAAGCGATATTTTTGCATCACCTCATCTGACATATTTGTCCACCACTCATTTATTATAGCCCCCGCTTGAAAAGCGGGAGGGTATATAGTAATCGTTAATTCCGTCCGTCCGTCCGTCTGTCCTTTACGCTTTGGGGTACCCATCTCTTATCCGCAACTCCTCTTATACCACTGAATGAAAGTTGATGAAACTTTCACAGAATCTTTATTACACATTGCCTTTGTGCACCTCCTATCTTATTTTTTGATCCGACACATATTTTTGATTTTCCATAGCAAAACATGGACACTGCCATTTATACACATATGGGAGGCGGAGGGTATCATTTAGTGAGCCATTGCTCACAGTACCTCTAGTTTCAAGTTATTTTTTATCATTATAAACATTTTTATAGCCATAAAAACATTGCTTTCAATGTTATTTTACTGTATCGTGTACCTGAAATTCTTCACGCAGTGAACTCTGATTGGCCGGTTTGTCTATTGTCATGTTCTTCGAATTTGTAGTAAATTCACCAATGGTATTGAAGCTAACTGGCGATTTGTAAATTTCACTCAAAGCAAGGAATATGGTCATATATTGCTCCTGAAAATAAAATGTAATGCATAAAGTAAAATAAACAAAAAAAAGACAAAAAACAAAAACAAACAAACAAAAACAAAACATTGATATAATATATATAGTAATACATGTACTTCTTTGGTTAATGTTTTTTGTTGGTTATTTAGAGTTTAAAAATAACAACTTTATTGTAATAAAACTTGAAAAGTGTTTGGAATTTACTATCAAAATATGTTTGGAGGAAGGAGTTGTGGTTACTTACAATACTCTTTTCCACTTTTTTTTATTTAAGTAATGCAATATAAATGGAACAACCAAAACATGTTGGTGTTTTTAAAATTATAAATACTGATACTTACATAGGTTTGGACCATATTCATCCTGTTTTCTCTCATCTTCTTGACATATTCAGCAACGTTGACTGTTCCCGTCTTTCTCCCTATCTCATTCAGAACGTCTATTGCTATGTATGTCCCTGTTCTACCAATTCCCGCACTTAAGGCAAGAAAATGAAAAAAAGTATTATAATTGTAAAACTTGAATAAGCATTAAAAACAGACTGTGTCAAAATTAGCAATTTGTTTTTTAATCATTTTTTTCAGTTAACTGCAAGATTGAAAAAAAAATAAAGGAAAAACATGAAATAAGTCAGTTCTAAACATAAAAGTACCAATTATGATGAATTGTTAGATGGTAAGAAATATATTTCCAAAACAGTCCATTATTCAGTTTAAAAATATACCTGCAGTGTACGACTGTTGGAGAATCTCTCTGATTGGTCCCTACTTTCCTAACGTGGTAAAGGAAGATAACAAGAGAGAGAGGCTCAGGAGTACCGTGGTCTGGCCAGGCAGTATAATGGTATTGTGTCACAGTACGTGACTTTTTTGTCTGTTGTTTTGCAAAATAACTGTATGTTTAAATTTGTATACATATACAGCATTTTTATGTATTCTTCATAATTTTTGAAGGTTTAAGCCCAAGTTGAATGACATATGGATTTATGTGAGATAGCAGTATAATTCAGTGTCAAAAAACACAAATCATTCGATAAGACAATTCGATATTTTCTTTTTCAGTGAACCCAAATTCATTATGCTACTGTAATTTTATTCATCTCTGTAAGTAGTTAAATCGTTTAAGATTCTATGGTTTTCTAAGATCATAATTTTAGCAAACAGGTAAATGAGTCATGATGAGTCAAAAAACACTATAAATAATTTCGAGCGAGGATGCTTCTCTGGAAATGATAAGGGAGGCTAGTAGGTTAAATAATTTTTGTTATGGCTTATCATATCTTCATATCACGAATGATTTTAATTAAGTAAAACAAAAACCATTTGATCATAGGATACAGTACCCGCATCGTTATTCTTTACAGGATACACGATACGATAGGATACACGCACGATACGATAGGATACACGCACGATAGGACAGGATACACGCACGATAGGATAAACGCAAAACACGATAAACGCAAAACACGATACACGCAAAACACGATAAACGCAAAACACGATAGACCTGATAAACGATCTTCACGATAGGATAAACGCAAAACCTGATAGGATTGTTTCAAAATGCGGAACGTTTTCTGACAAGACGAAAAGATTATTTTAAATTAAATTCAAAGATTAAAGATGATTTAGATTAAATTATATTTTAATTTAAATACTTGCAGAGCTTCAAATCCAAACTATAAAATACAATTATTATTATAAAAAGAACTTGAGATCTCTGTGGTAATTTTACAAACGTTGTTTATTTATATAAAAAAAATTGACAGTGATTTAATGGATTTTTATGAAATGGAGACTGTATTTTTTTAAAAATTTCTTCTCAAGGGTGTGAATTTTGAAACTCTATAAACAGATTTATTTTTTATGAAAAAATATACATTTTAATTTTATATCTAATAAATTTATCTACAAGTACCAAATTATTTCACGGAAGAAATTTACGCAATAAATTATATATTTGTAATTAATGTCTAAAGCTTACAATCTGCGATGTATCCAAAAATCGCAATTAAATATTAATATCTTAGAAAAAAAAAAGCAAAAGACCGGTCGAAAGAAAGGTTCAAAGAAAACTGCTTTGACAAAATTAATAAATTTAACATGATAGATCCATCAAGAACTAAACAGTTCAAAAAAATTATTTTCCTGAATAAAAATATAAATAATTGTTAAAATAATGGTGCTCTGCATTAATACATGTAAACTGTGTCATGAGAATATGAATTTGCTACAACTGCACATGTACGTTTACGCTAAGCTCTGACTTATGTACATGTAAACATTTATATATCAGATACTTAAAACCTCGTATTTATTAACGAATATTAAAAGGTTAAATACTTTTTTCTTTACAATACAAAGCAGAAAAATTAATTAACAAATATTAAAAGAGTGAAATGCGACTTTTCCGACTAAATAATTATAAATCAATGCTATTAAACTCTGAGTGTACTGTTTCTTATAATAACAAAAAATAGGTTTAATTCGGCAAATGAATTATTAAACCTGAAAAATTATTTTAGACTGATCCAGTAATCTCATATGAGGCATATTTGAAGGGCGGGATGTTGAAAGTCCGTAACCAATTTAAAATTAGATAACCAAGATCTAACCAAATAGCCAACTATAATTTTGAATTCTTAAATAAAGTTATATACGTATGGAATGAAATCGATTAATACTATAAATTGATTCGGTGTATTTACCAGTCTTGCATGGTCACGGCGGACTCAGACGACTTCTTTTGTTTTATTTTTATAGTAAGATACCGTAAGAAAAAAAATGCGAGTTAATTTTCATAGTTTAGAATGTTAGAACTATTTTATCCGTTTCTACGATCAATGAAATTGTTTCCTAGAATTAATTTTGTCCGTATTACGTAGAAAACCCGATGATCCGAAAGTGCATGTACCATAAGATGATTTTTTAATCCATAAATTGTACAATTATTTAATATATTTTGAATTAAATCTTTGATAAGTTTGTTCAAACAAGTTAGGAACAAAATCCCGAAAATAAGTAAATGCGTTTCATTACAACCAGGTAGTATTCGAGGTTACTAATTGACCCTAGATGAGAAATCAGTACAGGTATGTTGACGGTGATCACACATACGGGCCGAGGTGTCAGTTAGGGCAGAAAGGGGAGGGGGTGGTTGTCCGCACAGGAAGACAGTGTGCTAATTAGAGAGCTACACATACGTGTCAGTTTTCTGGTAAGGAAAGGTCTTCGATTTATTTTGATTTTTGGCATCCCGATGGATTGTATTTTTAGTTTATTTCCACGCCGAAAAGGTAAGCTGTTACAAAACATCATGTTTTTCTCTGTATATATTATTTTAATGTTATCTAATGCCAGATAAAATTAATGAAAAACTTATATTTTATAGTAACAGCCATGGTGTGATAAATGGGGTAGAATATTTTTATGCATTATATTTTATAATTTAGACTTTAAATCAAGGAATTTATAATTAGCTTTAAAAAATAAATTTCAAATTTGAACATGTACGGCCAAAATCGTTGTTAAAATCATCTGGATCAATGTCTGGTGTTTTATTATATTTCTAACATCAAGACTTTTGATAATTGTGCATACATGCAGATCAGAGGCGTAAATATATTATTAACGTTATTATACGATAAACAAGGAAAAACAGAATATTGCATGAAAAAAAGATACATATCAATATCCTGCTTATTATTTATTTATTTCCTTTTTGTGTACGCGAACATCGTAGCTTTCCAAAAATCTTTCTCCGGTATCTCTGATTCATTTAAGAAAATCATATTAATAGTATTTAATTTTGAATTATGGTTAGAACGGTACCTAGTGAAAATGGCACTTGGTGAAAACGGCACCTGGAATATGCAAAACAGCACTTGGTTTAAACGGCACTTAGTGAAAACGGCACTTGGTTAAAACGGCACTTGGAGGAAAAAGTATGTAATTGTGTTATGATATATATTTGACATAAGTTCTTTTTAAATTCAAAATTTAATTTATTGACTTTAGAATTTATTTATAGCTTCAATTTTGCTTTATTTTCAATCTATTTTTAAAGGTAGTATTTATAAGCTATAATACCGCATATTTGAGTTCATCTCACAATATGCGCCGTTATCAAAGCTCTATCCTTTTATTATATGTCATCATTCACCTCCTTTTTGTGAAAAAAAAACTAATAAATGTGATAAGCCGGAATTTATTTATCCATCCATACAGTGTCGGTACTTAGTCACTAGGTTTACGGGTTATCTCCCCTTTTCTATGCATCAATGAAAGTGAAAGGTGGGTGATGAAAGTATCCGATTTATGTTTTTGTATTATGAAATATTTTATAATAATTTCCAGATTTTAAAGTTAAGTTTCAGTCACAGAAGTAAAACAGATTATCTTATTAACATTGGTATTGCTCGATGGCAAGTATTTTATTGGATTGAAACAGATCTATTTGCCACCCGTCCATGCTTTAAACACTGGCACATGGTACAAGAGATTACAATGTGGTAATAATAACCAACTTCATCAGCAGATGTTGAATGAATAAAAACTTACTTAGTGAAATAATATATAAACAAAATGAGCTAATGTAAAAATAGGTATGAACTTCAATTTTATTCGGTCCATGTTATTCAAGGTCATTTGCCAATAAACAATTTTATCATCCGTACACATGGTCATTTGCCAATAAACATCCGTACACATGGTGGCCTATATTTAGTTACTTAGATCCCTTAGCCTATCTTTAGGGGGTTTAAAAATGGGAATATCCATAATTATAATTCTTACAGTATGAGTATGCTTTTGTCACTTTGGGTTTGGTGCATTTATCAGTTTATTTAAAATATTGAGTGATTTTTTGAAAAATAAATAAATAAATAAATGTTCAAGGATAGGGTTACCCTAGCTGTGCCATACCAGTCTACCTTTTGTCCTAAAAACAGTGAATAAATAGAAAAAAATACAGATTGAGAAGTAATAAAAGTTTGACAAATCTTTAGAAATGTTATTTAGCTAGATTCACAAAGGGACAGATCTCTAATTAAAGTATATAAATTTCAATCAAGGCCATTCAACTTTAACAAGGGTCCAAAGAGAGGCATGAAAGATATGCAATTGCGACAAAGGCAGTAATCAATTGCGAAATAAAATAGTTTGAAGTAAAATACATAACAAGTTTTGGTGCTTTTGAATGTAACATTACATTAATGCATTTTATGATATGAATGAAACATCAAGTAAGATGTGTGTTTATACATATTTACAGTTGTACACATGCTATATGACAAAACTCAAGGTAAGTAAATATGAATGATGACTAAAAAAGTAAATAGATTTTGAGTCAAAAAATTCAGTTGGATGGAAGCATTACAATCAACAATTCAGGCTGTAAAATCTGGGAGGCATACCCGGCATAGGTAACATGCACCAGAGTTGAATTGTACATTGTCTGTCAAATCCACATAATAATAATATATTAGGACCAGCAGCACCCTCATCTATTCGGATATCACTTCTCTTAAGGGGCTTGACAGGGAGGACAACTTCAGATTCAAGAAGAACAATAACAATGTGGGCATAGTAATTTAGGACCTCAATGGTTCATTAGTAACAGTTGATATAAATAGGATTCCCCAAGTTTTATTTTAATTAACTACATGTAATATCTAGCAAGGCTAGCTACTATTTTGCTGGTTAATATATATCAAAGGCTTCAGATTAAGTAAGATGGGGCGAGGGGCATGTTTCGCATATATTCTGTGTTGTCATATTGGTCAATGGTGTAGTTAAAATTATACATAAAGGAAATAAAAGAAGGCCATGCTGTTCGTTCCTTGGAAGCCGTCTCCAGTGTACA